AAAAAAGCAGGACAGAATTTCACCATAATTTATTTAAATATAAATTGATGTCACATGTCAACCATTTTTACTTTTAGCAATGACATCTTCCCAACAAATCAAAAGAAAGAATTTTATAACAATATTATACTACATATGTTGTTTTAATTAGATGTTTTTAATCACCTTGTGTTAATATAGCACCTTGCTCCATATTTGCCAACACTAGAAATCTTTTTTCTTTTTTTAAATCAGGACACTCTTTATGGTATCTGAGGTACATGGCCTTGCACATAAAAATCATTATCAGTGGCCTGAACCAGTGTAGGGACTGGGTGCTTCAGATTCACTGTGCCTTTGTAATACACAAAAACAAACAAACAAACAAACAAACAAACCCTGCTATGTAGATTAGTTCTAATTATTTCTGGCTTTGTTAAAATACAAGTTGATAAAGTCTAAAAACATCTAACACATGTTGCCTCAAGAAGATATTTGTTTTAATAAATGTATCTATATGTTTGAAAAACTAGAAAACAACAATAACTGATCTTGAAAGTCTAATTTTAAATTTCCAATATGATAAACTACTCTTCAGTAAGAATCTCAAATTGACACAGAAGCAATGGATTCCATGACAGAGACTTTTGCACTATATTTAGTGTTCCTGGTGGGCCTAACCTAAAGAGAGAGGCTATATATCTTGTTCTATTCATAGAAACGGGCACACTCAACAAACATCCCTACAACAAACAAGTCTACAACATGTTTAGCCTGATCTAAACAACTCATTTAGTTCAAATAACGGTCCATAGTCTGATGTGCTAAGTTAAATTTTTTTTAAAGTTGCATGCAGTCAATTGCAGATAATTATAAAGAATATGACCTACCCAAATTATTTATTCAGAGTTATCTTAACTCACATATACATTAGAACCAGGTTGAAATGTTTCCACTAACCTATACACAATCAGTATATTTATTGTCTGTAGCAGGGTAAATATGCATATGGTGTGGAGTGACAGGACTACTGGGTTGCTTTAATTCTAACACTATACTGAGCCAGATGGTCAAGAATAATTAGGGTAAGACCTTAAATGAAAAATGGAAATGACGCAAGAGCCAAACTTCTTAAAAGCACATTGGGTCACTCTGAACTACAACATAAAGTGAGCTGTGTAAAACAATACAGACTTGTCGAGTAGAACTGAAATCTCAAAGTCAAAATCTCAGCTTAAAAACTGATCAGACTTCCATTTTATTACTGCTAAGTTCTGAATCAGCTATGCTTCTCAATTCAAAACTTTAAGATTGTATTGAGGTCATCATTTTCAACTTACGAACATTTGAAAACTACCTAAGGCGAATCTCTCAAAAAGATGAATTATCAATGACACCCAGAGAACTGGGCTTGTATCCCTCAGTCCCAGACTCTAATTGGGTGCGTGATGAGAGTGGGCTTCTCTTCTTGTTTGTAGTGGTGCCCTCTAACGACTAGACGGACCTCGCTTTAGTAACCACTCCGCGAGCGATTTGTTTTAGCGTTTACACTGCTGATGGTAGGAAGCAATCTTCTTTAATGGATGCTGAAAAGCTTCAAGTGAAATCTGTAATTGATAAAGGCTTCATAGACACAGGCAATTAAGAATAAAATTAATAAGAGGCTCTACAGGAAAAGCACTCCTGCTTTCACAGAATACTTCTCTAGGAAAATATTTAGTAAAAATAAACATTGCAAAAAAACAGGTGTTGTTTCTTCCACTTTATAAACTTCTCTGGTCTGTGTGCTTGTTTAAAAGATGACCACAGACAAAGTTAGTGTAAATGTTCCTGGGTCTAAAGGAATAATTCACCTGCTAATTTTATTAGACTGGGGAAAAGGAAACAACACAGTAAAGAAAAGCCCTAAGTGAAAACTGAGGCAAGTTCAGCACCCATTTCTTCAAACTAAAAGCTGTTCAGGTTCAAAACTTCAAGTTAGGAGTCGTGTATTGGCAACAAATCAAAAGCTCTCTAAAGAGCGAAGCAGCAAGGCTGCGAAGAACAGGGCACTCGTGAACCTCAGGGTTCCAGGAGCCAACATTACTCCGTAAGTGTCACTAGTCCAGAAAGTGACTCAAGCACACATCCGATGAATATAAATAAGAATAAGATAAAATAAAATAAAAGCACGAGAGTGAGTGGGGAAAGAACAGAACTGTCAACTGTACTCTGTCCATCCTCCAGGCCCCCGCCCCACCTCCCAAAAAAGGAAGTTTACCTGCAGTGATAGGTAAGATTAGGAGCCTGAGGGTGGCTCTCAGGTGAGTTAATTCCTGAGTTTGGGGGTTGGCGGTCGCCAGGTGGGGAAGGGGCGGGTAGCACTTACTTTGAGCAGCTTACAGCGGATCTGCGCGGAGACCATGTGGCTGTTGCGCAGGTTGCCCACTCGGAACATGAGCGTGAGTTTCCCGTCCCTCATGGAGATCACCGCGTGCTCGCTAAACATAAGGGTCTCCGCGCGTTTCTTGGGCTGGGACATCTTGATGAACATGCAGCCGATGAGGAAGGCGTCCACGATGGAGCCGAGAATGGACTGGAAGAGGAAGAGGATGATGCCCTCGGGGCACTTGTCGGTGATGTAGCGATAGCCATAGCCGATGGTGGCCTCGGTCTCGATGAAGAAGAGGAAGGCGGAAGGGAAGTTATAGACATTGGCCACGCAGGGCGTATAGTTGCCGACGTGGGCTTTGTTCAGGTCGCCCCGAGTGTAGGCGATCACCCACCACATGGACGCCATGAAGAGCCAGGCCACAGTGTAGGTGAGGATGAAAATGAAGAGGTTCCAGCGCCACTTGAGGTCCACCAGGGTGGTGAAGAGGTCCGAGAGGTAGCGACTCGTCTCGCTGCCCAGGTTGCCGTGCTGGACATTGCACCGGCCGTTCTTGTCCACGAACCGCTGCCGCTTCTTCTTGGGCACAAGCTGCTGCTGCGGGCCCTGGCCCGGCCCCTGGGGCTGCAAGCCCGAGCCGCTGGAAGAGGTGGTCACTACCTGGTAATCGTCCCCAAATTTCCTTCGGAGTGCAGACATAATACGGAGGGGCAAGCCAGATTCAAACGCGAAGCGAAGGCGCAGGAGCCGAGCGCTGCAAACCAGCACCAATAAGGAGGTGGGGGCGGGAGAGAAAGGGGGGGACCAAAGAGAGCGCGCCTGGGGTGGGGGGCGCACCCGGCAGGTAGCTGCGGTCTCTGTCCCCTGCAGACGCCTCTCCTCCCCTGGGACGGAGGCTTTCTCTCCACGCTGAGTCTTAACGCACACACACACAAAAAGTGTTTTCCTTCACTCAAAGCGGAAGGGCTGCAAGGACCAGGAGCCCAAACGCAAATTTGCCTCCAAGCTTTTGGAGGCTTCTCTTTTCTCCCCCCACCACCGGCATCCCGGAGGCCACCTCTTGCCTTCCCACAGCCCTCCCGACTATCCTGCAGCACTCCCAAACTGACTGTTTTAAAATTAATGAGTTGACAAGCGAGTGCCACCCCACCTGTCAACTCGCCAGGCTGCCGGAGCCGCGCTACCTGCTCAGACCAGACCCTCCCCCCCTCCCCGCCGCTCCCCGACCGCCCGCCCCCCGGGACGGCTCCCGGCTCTCCCCGGCGCTCCCGCCTCCTATCTTTTGGCCAAAATCCCGCCCAAAGGCATGTCTGCCGGGCACTGGTTCAACAGCCCCTACCCTCGCCCTCCGAGCTCAAGAGTCCCCGCTCGAGGCTCCAGAGACGCGTCCGCCTGCCGTCCGCGGGCCGCCGAGTTTCCGCGGGCGCCACCGGGGCCCCCGGGCGGACCCTCGCTGGCCCCCAGGCCGCCCCTGCGCTCGGCTGAAACGCCGCGGGGCGCTAAGGCCGAGCACTCACCCGAGGGGAGAGGGCAGGAGGCGGCGCAGCGGGCGGCAGCGGCAGCCTGGCCTCGCACTCAGCCCGCAAGGCTGTTTTGCTCGCCCCCACTTTTCCTGGTGTACCACGGTGGGCGCCAAGGCCGGTCCCCCAAGCTCCGCACTTCCCGAGGGCACCACGCTGCCCCCACCAGAAGGCTCCTGGCGCGCCCGCCGGGCACTGACCGACTTGGGAGCGGGACTTGAGGGTTCCTGGGCGCCGCGCTCTCCCAGCAGGCGACCACGGTGCTGCTGTGGGGGGTTGCGCCTCAGGCTGCGGCTCAGACTCTCAGGTTAAATACCAGCGCCGCTCCAGCTTTTCCTCAGCTTCACGGCGCCTTCCTTTCCCTCCTTGGCCCCCCCACTCCCTGTCCGCGCCTCTGTGGCCCGGGTTGGAAGAAGCGAGGCGCGAGCAGGGGGCGGCGGGAGAGCGGTGTCTGTGCTGGTGCGTGTGATCAGCTGCAGAGCCGCGCTAGCCCCGCCTGTCCCTGCCTTCCCCCGCTGTTTCACCAGCCTGAATTGCACCTCCGCGCCTCAGTTGAGCCTGCAGTGTCTGGCGGCTCAGGAAAAAGCGAGCCCCTCCAATGAAAAGCGACTCAAAATCTGCTCCCAAAAGCCAGCCAACTCTCCTTCCTCGCCCCCCTGCATTGGGCAGAAAGCCCCCGGCAAGCAGCAAATGCTGCTCTTTGAGAGAAAAGAAGTACAATATGCCCCTGTAACTACCGTTCTCACTGAAATGGGTGCCTGGGTTTGAGGGTGCATCATAAGGAGACCCCAGCTGGCTTCAAGACAAGCGTGTTCAGAACTCAAGAGTTGCAAGGAGCAGAGGGGGCACAAGATGGGAACAGAAAGGAGGAGAGACGCTCATTCAGGAAAGCTTACCCACCGTCCGCCCTGAAAATGACTCTGTTGGAAAAGCTCAGAATGTCCGGAGTTAATGGGTGGCTGCCATTGAGGGATGAGGCTGAATTGTAATGGCCCGGGCCTGGCAGTTAACTTAATGGAGGGGCAAAGTGCAGAAACAGCTAATACAGTGCCATGCGTAAACATCAGCTTTTTCACCACATTTCAGGTTTTAAAATGCCATGGTCTCTTACGGCATATACCATTCAGTCCAGATCCATAAAATTGATTTTGTTAGAAAATCATCAAATCGTGGGATTACAAATGCAAAGGGCTGCAGTAAGACCCTTTTGCAAAGGAAAATAAGTACATAATCATTCTATCAATTCTCTGCTCCCTTCTAACGCTCTATCCCTAAACCCTGGTGCAAGTAAGCCCTGCACCTTGTCAGCCAGAAATAGAGGACTCTTTGTCATTGGTTAAAACGTCTGTCCCTGGTTGCAGACTCTTCTGTTTGGCTCTCTGAGAAGAGGTCAGGGACTGCGATTCTTTAGGGTTACATAAGAAGGAAAGTGGCACTGTGGGAAGTGGAAACTGCTCTGGGCTGGATGGCGAGACCTGATTAGAGTTCTGGTCCTGCCATTTACAAACTGAGGGGGCCCTGAGCAAGTTGCTGAACATCTTTAACCCCCAACTTTCTCCTCTGAAAAATTGAGAGTTTTCACATTTTCCCAAAGTTGGTATGTGAAAAAGAGAATGTGTGTGCTTTTATTAACTACTTTTGCTGTGAAGCATGTTAAGTACTGGGTTGTAAAGGCCACGAGATGAGGAATGGGCTTTTGGAGATGGCCCCAGGCTGTGAACTGACACCTATTCTCCTCTCACTCCTGTCTACTCCCCAACAAAGTCATGATGCCCTTGCCAGGCTGGCTTCTTTCAATTCCGGAAACTCACCGAGGAATAATCCCCAACCTTGCACCTTTGCTTATCTGTTTTCTTTTTCTGGAATGTTCCTGCACTGGTACTCCATGTTGCTGGTTTCTTCAACCATTCAGTTCTCAGCCTGAAGGCATCCTCCTCAAGGAGCCCCTCTGCTAAGCCTCGCATGTTCTCCCCATCACGTCAGTTTAGTTCATCTTTATAACACTTCCTCTTCCAGCTGCCATTTTCTTCATTGGTCTGCTGTTTCTCTCCCCCTCCGTCAGAGTCCTGCAGTGTAAGCCCTGCAAGAGCAAGGACCCTGTCGCTCTTGTTCACTGCAATGTCCCCAACACATAGAACACTACCTGTCACATACTAGGTCCGTAATCAAGATTTTTTGGCTAAATAACATGTACCAATCTACATACATCACTAGAAACTCCTCATGCATTGAGTAGTGCAGAACTGAAAGTCATCACTAAATCAGGTCACTTAAATAATTTAATATAAAAGAGCATGTAAATTAAAACAAAGTAATTCTTCCTGTGCTTGTTATCTTTAGAACTGATATTCCATCAGCTGCCAAATCCTTTTTATTGTTCTACTGTAATAACTCTCATAAAACTTCTCTCTTTCTTGGAAAAAATGCTACCAATTTCCTTCATAGCCCCATTTCACTTTAGGTCCAAAGTCAAATGATGTTCTTGCTTTCAGTCTTTTACTCCTTCAAACTGTCCTGGGTAGTATGACGGGATCTGTCTCCTTAGAATCATATACATTTATCAGCGGCATGGAAACCAAAGAGTTCTCTGATTATTTCATTTGATTATGTTATTTCCAAGCTTTTAAACGTTTCTACTTTTTAAAAAACACTTTTCTATGTTTTTCTTTGCCATTTTCCAACAGCCAAATTTATAAACAATTAATTTTATACCTAAAGAGACATGGTCTAGTCTAAAGGCTAGAAAAGGGAAATCACTTGCTCAAAGTCACGGAGTTAATAAGTGGAAACTTTGAGATTTGAACCCAGCCCAGTGTATCTCTAGCACCTGGGTGCCCTGCCATCCCTTACCAGGGGATGGAAAGGAGTCCAGGATTCCTAATCCACCACCAGGGTCTCCCTCCACTACATCAGGCTTCTTAGATAGGTTGAGATCGAAGGTCTGCCAGAACGTGGACTAACTTAGCTTTCCTAAATTATCTCCTACCTTCCCTTTAATATGGGCTCTGCTCCAGCCAACTTTGATTGTTAGCAGTTCCCCAAATGAGTCCTATATGCCTGTATTTGCTCAACTTCTTTCCTCTCACTTAAGTATTCTGTCTCTCTCCCTGCAAAGTCCAAATTACCATCTCTAGTGTACACACAAGGGAAGGAAAAAAAATTCTTCAGCTTTACTTCAAGTGCCACCTCCTACCAGCCGCAATCTATCCCTTCCCTGAATTCTCATTCCCCTAGATTTCCCAGGTGATATTTTTTTACTTTCTGGGCTGTATCTGAGCTCAGAACTCACCAAGATTTCCCCTGTAAAAAGGCAAGCACCCTGAGCATCCATCTCTTACTATTTTGACACCATCCAGCACTCCAGTTATCAAAACTTGCCTTGCACATGGTAAATACTTAAAACATTTTTAGAGAGAGCTAAAATTTATTGAGCCTACTTTACTGTGCCAGGTGATGTGCTTGGAACTTTACAGTTAGTAGTCCCATCACATAGCTAGAAACATGGTAGAGCAGGGATTCCAAAGCATGTCTGCCCATTTTCAAGGTCTCTGTTCTTTTAGAGACACAGAACTGCCTGATAAGTGAAAGATTTTTCAGGATGCCATCATGTCACACTTTAAATGTGACTGAGCCTTTGACCTATTTGTGACATTGAGTCGCACTCCTTGAAAGTGTTTAAAGATGAACCAAATTCATCTTCCCCTGTGAGGACAGCTGCTTCCATGATGAGGTTCTGGAGGGCAGCCAGTCCCCTGGTGCCAAGACCGGGAGGGGTGTGTGGACAATGGATGACAGGAGGCCACCTAATCAGGTGCTGTCTGATGAACTGACGTGAAACACTGTAAACAGAATGGGTCACAGGAGGGAGAGGCACACAGTTTCAGCCAAGGCCACGCAACCAGAACAACCTAGAAAATTTAACTACAGAATACACAGTCATTTGGAGTCTAACATTTAAAGACAGGGTGGTAGGTTATAAACAGACTACTGTACCGTTCTTAGCTGGGGAGTCGGGGGCAGGGATCAAAGCTATATTTAACTACAAACTCAGGTCAAAACAAGCTATATATTTATTCTTCCCAGAAAGTCCTTCTGGCAATGTCTTATTTGCTGTGTCTAAAATTAGTAATAAGCTGAATAACTGTAACTTTAAAAATGAAGGATATGATTCTGTGTTTTAATCCTGAAAAAGCATGACTTTGCACATGCACTCCCCCTATTATATAACGGAACAGTGTGGAGAAAAGAGTATATTTAATGTAAAAGAAAAAAAAAAGAAAAAGAAAAACCTCTGCCCCTAAGAAGTCTAGATTCTAAAAATGATTTAATCTGCCAACTGTGAAAAAAGCAAGGCTTTGAATATCTCAGCAGACCTGGAGTCCATCTTCCCGTCATTCACTTATTGCGACTGCGACTCCCACCGTGGGATAGTCTGCATGGCCAGAAATATTAATTACTCCCAAGGGACAATAGTATTATATTCAATACTCCTTTACTCCTAATCCTACCATTCTCCAAAGTCCAGTGAAGAGATGGGCAGGCTTGGGGATCTGAAGCTCTTATGCTTCAAAGGTGACACTTCCCCATTACGACCATAAGTTCTGCTATATCTGGGAAGAGGTCACTCTTTGAAATTCTACATGCAATTTTGGGCAATAGGATGGTGTTCCTTTTTTTTTTTAAACCTTCCTAAAAAAAGAATACTGGAGTTATTTTCTCTCTTGCTAAAAAAAAAAAAGAAGAAGAAGAAGAAGAAAAAATTGAAAAGGAGAAATCAGTTTGATATTTGATTGCGCAGATTTGAGAACAGAGGCACTGCCACACCACGACAGATGACTCACCCAGCCCTTCATCTTGGCTCTAAACACTGGCCTCTGCCCGCAGATTCAGAGAAAGGCAAAATTCCATTGTCACTTGGAGACCACTTATTTGGCAAGGTTTTCCTGACTTAAACCCTCTTTTTACTCTAATGCTGTACATGGGAATACTCTGGTTTATAAAAAAAAAAAAAATAAAGACTTTTTAAAAGTCTTCCAAAACTCAACATCCATTTGAAAAGAAATAATTGTTTTATCAGACTCAAGGGTTTGTTGGAAGAGTAGGAAGAATAAAAGAATTTCCTATCTTTACCTATGTCAGTTGAAGTTACACTTCTGAGAATTTCTTCCCTGGGAATATCAGTGAAGTCCCAGGTGTCAAAATATGTCCAAGGATGCTGCTTAGTTCAATACAACACACACTTACTGTGCACGGACCATGTGCCCAGCACTGTGCCAAGGGTTGTGCAGGTCAGAAGTAATAACAACATCATGCCAACAAAATAGGTTAACTACAACAACAATAATAGTAATAATAACTAATACAATGTGGTAAGCTTCTAAAGGAAGAAGATTGCTTTATCAGCATTCAGAAGAATAAGTCTCTGTAGGAAATACTGTTCCAGTGAAGGTGAGTTTTCTAAACCTATCAAACTGGAATCACTTACATTTTGTTAAGCATTCAATCACCTCTGTTCAAATGACATCGTTTTAGAAATTTGAAGATGGATTTTTAATGGCAAGATCTCTGAGAAGTAACATTTGT